TGCGCCGGTGGGGCACCGGCGGCCGCCGTGGTGTGGGCAAGGGGGATGCTCCCCCACTTTTGTCAGCCGGAGGGATGCTGGCGCCGCGGCTGGTTCAACCAGCTTTATGGTCTCTTCGTGCTGCTGCAGCAGAGCTGAGAATCTGGCCCTGGCTCCCTCCCCACCTCGCCAGGGACTGCATCAGTGTGCTGTTTATTGTTTCTGCCAGATCATTCATGCAGATGTTAATGAATGCTAGACCCAGCTTTGCTCCCAGCAGAGTCCCTTCCACACCTCCCCCTGCCCAGCCCTCTGCACTGGAGTTTCTGTTTACAGTCCTGCAGGGAATTTCCCCTCTGCTGCAAGGTCTTGGAGCTGCAGTCCCAATTTCTGCTGGCAGCAGGCTCCCACACCTCCCTGGTTCCTGTAGCTGTCCAATGTCACCTCCAGGTGTCTGCATCCCTCACTGTCACCATTCCTTCTCCACCTCTGGCCTCCCCAAACTAGAGACATGCCAATTCTCCTAGGACGGAGCAGGGGGCTTGGACAGTGAAGAAAGTTGCTGCAGGTTCTTCCTCTGCACAGACGGAGAAAGCACGGGGAGAAGCAGCCACCAAAGGGGAAGAGCAAAGCAATTTGTCCAGGAGGACTCTGAGACAACATCCATGCTGGTAAGTGGTGCCAGGACCCAGCTCCTGGCCCTGCAGCCTGCAGGCGTGCAGCAGCCTGCATCCACACCACTGTGTTATCTTCATATCCCAACAAGGTGGGCACCTCAGTCTGACAATAATTGGGAAACGCTGAGAATACTTGGGAGAGCGTTAACCAGCCCGGCCCAAAATCCCACCAGGGACCTCTGCAGAAGTTTAGCAGCGTAAATGGCCACGTCTACAAGCCCCTGGTACTGCGGTGGCTGAGCTGCAGAGCCTCGCTGTCCTGGCAGCTGTTGGACATCAGGAAGCCAAAGAACAAGTCTACCTGCTGCAAAGGGCATCAGTCTCAGAAGGGGTTTCTGATCTCTTCTTGATCAAAGCAACATCACTTACCCTTCCAGGAGAGCGATGACGTTCTTTCTGGGCCTCCCAATGTTCGGCCCGTAGAGGTTTGCTCTGGAGTAAGTGCGGATAAGCTGCAGCAGGCTTCTCAGCTGGATGTAGTCTTTCCCCAGCTGGCTGCCGTTCACCGAGCGGCCGATCAGGGTCCGATAGTTATTGGGCTCTGGGAAAATAAAAATAGACAAGCAAGGCTTGCCAGCTCTGCTCCTTCATCCGCACTTCCGGAGAGAGACACACAGCTCACACGCTGTCGCACAGCTTGAGCTCCACAGAGCTGCCTGTCTGCTCTGTAGAGCAGCAGAAGGAGTCTCTGAGGCGTGGATGAGGGCCATCGCTCGCTCTCCTGTGCCAGCATTTCCTCCCGCGTCCCTTTCGCGGTGTGCTGGGTGAAGGACCTGCACCTTGGTGTCATGCTCCTGTCCTGGTGGGGTCCCCAACTTCCCCTGGCACCACAGAAGTCCATACAGCTGCTGGTCTGCCCACCCCAGCACCGGCTGTAACTAGCAGCCAGGGCAGAAGAATTTCATGTGTTTAATACCAACTGATGGAAACCTCCTGCTAAGGTGCAAACACATGCCAGGTCGGTCTTAGAGATGGTGCTGCATTATAGCAGGGGCCTTTAAATCTCTCTGAACCCACACTGGCAAAGCGTTCCAGGATCTGCAAATATCCTCTTCCAAAAGGGAGAACCTCTCTGCTACAGCAAGCTCCATTTCCATGGCTCTCCTGTTCCCACACTCACCGTTGCCCAGCTCCCAGGAGATGTTGTACTTCTTGCTGGCACTGTACTTCAGAAGGCTGAGGGCATTGGAGCTGTTCCAGGAGTTGTTGGGATTTCGGCGCAAAGCATTCAGTGCAAAGATCAGGTGAAGGCCAGAGCAGTCAGCAAAGTTATAGAGTTTGTCTAGAGACCTGGCTGGGAAGAAACAAAAAACAGCTTGTAATTCAAATGAAAGCTAGTTCCAGGGAGGTTCAAATGATCCTGCTGTCCATCAGACCTTGGCTTCTGTGTAGGATGAGCCAGGGTCAAATGCCATCCCCACGACATCTGTAACCGCAGAAATGCACCTGACCTTTGAAATTGGGATAGGATTCCAGGTGTGGGCTCATCACAGGATGAAGGATTCCAGCATGAAACTTGGATGCCCTCCACCTCTGTGTCAGAGCGAGGGGCCATGTTACCAGAGACAAGTGACTTTATAACATCTCTTTTCATCCGCTCTTGGCAAGGAAAGTTCAGTCTTTCCTGTGCTTATCCTGCCTTGCATCTCTTTCAGAGCAGATCCCTGCAGTGCCTGGGGACCAGAGGAGGAAACCACCACCCCAGGGCTGCCAGCCCACGGCCACCTCTCCTGCACACCGCCACAACCTGCTCCCTGCTCCCGCAATCCCCCGTGCGGTAACCAAGCCCCAGCGATAACCAAACAGAAGCCTCTAAGGTGTGCACCGCGCACCCAGCTAGCCTCTGCTCTGCACGCACGGAGAGGAGCTTCGTGCCACCCCTTGAGCACGGGGCGGCGAGGGCTCCCTGCCTGGTGACAGCCTGGCCAAGCCCTGCTGCTGGGGTGGCCCTCCGGGCGCGCTGGGGTCTTTGGGGGACTTGTGTCCTAGCTGCTGGCCACAAAGCTCCCCGGCCGGCGTGTGCCCTGCGTGCGGTAGCCTTCACGAGCA